CACATGTACTATGCCAAAGCAGTGCTCAGTTGAAAATTTATACATATATGGAAACAATAGTTAACCACTTAATTAAATGTTAGAGAAAAAACAGCAAAAGGAGATAAGCAGAAGGAAAGAAACTGATAGAGATAAAAGCCGAAATTAATGAGCTAGCAAAAGTATAGAATTAAAAACTTTTAATCCAGGAGTACTTTATTGATTTTTTTACGGAATGTCAGCTAACTCTATTAAGAAAAAAAAAAAAAAGCAAGCACGAATATTGACATAGTGATTGACAACTACAGAAACAGAGGAAAATTAACAGTTTATTTCTATTAGCTGGGTAAATATAATTGAAAAAATTGGATAAAATGGAAATTACTCTAGGAAAATATGATTTAGTCCATGCATGTGTGTGTTATGTATATGTACAAAGATCAAATTAGAAGAGCTCAACTGCAAAAAAGTGCCAGGCTCAGATGCTCTCACAAAATAATTCTTTGGTTCCTTTTCTTTTTTAATTCACTCGAGACATTTATTGAGCATGTAGGCATTTGTTTTAACCCTTAGACGATTAGCATTTCTAAGATATGCAAAGGCCTAAATTCACACCTAATAATATCAGAAATTATATTTGCTCTTCCTCCTTAAATTTTTTATTGTATATAATTGAGGTATGCAATATGATGTTTTGATATACTGTACTTATACACAGTGAAATGGTTACTGTAGTCAAGTAAATTAATACATCCATCTCACAAAAATATTTAACACACTCTTAAAGAGCAGATCATTCTCTTAAACTATATCAAAGCATAGAAAATTAAGAAAGCCATCCAGTTTTCTTTTAATTTTGCAATAAAACGTTAACATCAAAGCTAGACAAAGATTTCACCAAAAAATACAAGGCTAGAGACCAATCATACTTATTAATATTGATGAAAAAATCCTAAATAAAAAAAAGCCAACAGTATCTACTTTTTCAATAGGGAAAAGATAAACGATGATAACACATTAAAAGATGGTAACACATTAAAAGAATTACTTATCCTCACCAGAGTTTATTCTAGGAATGCAAAGCTTTCCCTATATTTTATATTAAAAAATCTATATGTAATTCATCATATTAATAGATCTAAGGAGAAAAAGTACACAATACTCAGTGGATGCTGAAACCTAACATCATTTTGGTTAAAATAAAATTATCTACCTAGGGATAGGTTGTTTCCTTTACATAATAAATATATTTGGATCTCAGTCCCAAATCTGTCCACTTGATTAATGAGAAAATTAGAGGTATTCCCACTAAAGTCCAGAACAGATGGGAATGCCTGTTACAACCACTATTCTACACTGTGCTAAATTTTAAATTGAATTAGCAAGTAGATCAGGGAAAGGAAAAAAAAAAGTCATAAAAATTGAAAAGGAGGAGGCAAAACTATTGCTATTTGAAGATTTGTTCATTCATTCAATAAGTATTCCTTGAGTCTTGCTATCATCTAGGTACGGGTGAAAAAAGATACTAAAAAAAATTCCTTTGTTTGTAGAGCTTACATTCCAGAAATATGCTGTCACATGATTGTTTACCTGGAAAATAAAGAGAATCAGGTGAAAAACTACCACAAACAATATGAAAATTTAGTACAAAGTTCATAACCAGAAACCAGGGGCTTTCATATATATGCAAACAATAAGCAGTTGAAAGATATAAGAAAGTACCTTATTTACAACAGAAACCAAAAAGGATACTATCCCTAGGGGTATGTGCAAAACCTATATGAGGAAAAATTTCAAACACCCTTGAAGGACCCAGAAGACAATTGAATGAAGATGCCACATTAATTTTAAAATGGTATGTTCTAATTAAAAATGCCAGCAGTTTTGCTTGATTGGCCATTTGTTTATTTTGAAAGTAGACAAGCTATTTCTAACATTTATGTACATAAATAAAGATTTCTGAGAAAACTAGCGGAATAGTACTCACACATGAATAAGAGGCCAATGGAAGAATAGACTTGGTTTTTCAGTGGGGAAAAGATGAACTATGGTATTGGGACATTGGGTAGCCATCTGGAAAGAAGCAAAGTTCAATTCATACCTCACGGAATACCAGTATACATTCCAAATGCTAAAAATTTTAGCATAAAAATAAAAGTCCTAAATGTGTTAGAAGGGAAACTGGGAGAATTTTTTTGAACATTTGGAGTATGGAAGGCCGTTCTAATTATGACTCCAAATCTAGAAGCTATAAGAGAAGAGATTGATAAATTCAAATATGTTTTAAACAGACTTCTGCAAATAAAAACAAATAAGCAAAAAACACCATAAGCAAATTCTGAAATACAGGTGACATACTAGTAAAAAGTATGCAACTTAACGGTTCAGGCAATGGTTTAATCACCCTAATAAATGAAGAACTCTTACAAACCAATAAAGAAAAGACCAACAAATCAAGAAAAAAAGCCAACAACAAAAAACAGGCAAATAGATTTCAGCATATTCTTCACAAAAAGGAAACATAGATGATTTTTCAAATACATGAAAAGATGCTTCTATCATAACAAGATCAAAACTACACTGAGATACTGCTTTTTATGTGTCAGACTGGAAAAAATAGAAAAGTCTGGTATGCTTTGTTGAGGAGGCTTTGAGAAATGGCACTCTTGGTTATGAGAGTATAATTTTTCAACATCAAAATAAATTACAAATGCATAGACTCCTTTGATCTACAACTTTCACTTTCAGGAAGTTGTCTCACAGATAAACCTGTACTAAGGTGACCTATGGCAGGGTTATTGCAGCATTGTTTGTAGCAATAGAAGTTTGGAAGCTACCTAAATGTCCATTAATAGCAGAATGTGTAGGTAAATAAATTATGGTATATCCCTATAGTTCTACAACAGAAGGAAACTTTCTCTGTATACTGATACTCCCACAGGTTGGCCAGATAGCTTACTTGGTTAGAACTACACCAAAGCACCAAGGTCAAGGGTTTGGATCCCCAAACCAGCCAGTTGCCACACAAAAGAAGTATTCCAAGTTACATTGTATAGTGAAAAAGCCAAAGCCCAGAATAATACCTGTGGTGTGTAACCACTGTGACAAGAAGGGATATTCAAATTTAAATACATATTAATATACATATTTGAATACATATAATATATTTGAATACATATTCAAATTTGCTTATATTTGAATAAGATAACTAAAACTGATTTAATAATCGTGGTTACCTGGCAGGAAGGGGAGGGGAGGGACTGACAGGGTAGGAATAAAGTTGGAAGGTGAAACTTTGAATAATTTTTAATTTGTGAACCAGGTGAATGTTTTCTCTATTAATAAACTTAGAAAATAAATTGAAATTAAAAATAAATTCCTCTAGGAAAATGGTACAGCCCAGGTATATTGTAGGCAGTGAATTTTCCTCCACCCATATTTTTGAGCAAGAGAGATATGAGTGTAGATGGTGTCATTACTACTAAAAAAAACCCTCAAAGTACACACCCAATTGAAAGTTGGTAAATAACATTTATAGGCACAAGGTCAGCACACTGTGTTTCCTAAGGCCATTTGCTGTCTTCTGGGTGTCTGACTGTCTTAGTCAGTTCTGACTGCTGTAATGGAATACCATAACTGGGTGGCTTAAACAACAAACGTTTATTCTCACAGTTCTGGAGGCTGGAAGTCTGAGATCAGGGTGCCGGAATGGTCAGGTTCTTGTGGAAACCCTCTTTCTGGTTTGCAGAAGGCCGTCTTTTCTTCTATCCTCCCATGGCAGAGGGAGGAAGAGCAAGCACTCTGGGGTCTCTTCTTATAAGGGCACTAATCTCATCATGGCATGTGTGTGACCTAATCACCGCCCAAGGCCCCACCTCCTAATCCCATCACATGTGGGATTGGGGTTTCAACATACAAAGTTTGGGGGACACAAACATTTAGTCCATAGCACTGACCCCTTGTCTTGCTTGAGATGCTTGTGAAAAGGTGTCATGTGTGGCTTCTATCCTTGTAACTTGAAGGCTGCTCAGCCTGCCTTCTCCCTACCTGCTTTTTGGTTATTTTCCCTGATCATTATTGTCTTGTTAATATTAAAGCAAAGATAGAATCAATAAAGGAGTGGAACTCACTTGGCTTAGTTTTGTTGTGTAGTAGGTCACTCTCATGTGATTATTGGCAGGATGCTCTCTAACAAGTTGAAGAAAGGGGAAGGATAGGAAGAGGAAAACTAACATTTATTGAGAGTTTTACATACATTTTCACATTTGGTTCTTACTGCAATCTCATTTAGGTTGATAAATAACCCTCTTCCTTTTTTTTTTTTTTTTTTTTTTTTCGAGGAATTGAACCTGTACCTGTCATCTCAGGGCCATCTCTTTCCACTTCATCAAGTTTTGCTTCTTCCAGTAATGCATAGTCTTGGTGAAAGACTTGACTGGGCTACAGTCAGAGGGAATGACCAAGAAAAGGAGTAGAAGATGAATGTGTGAAGAATGCAGGAGAGTGAGGAGAGAAAGGGAAGAAAGAGAAAACACATTTGATAGTAGGAATGGTACCTTAGGCTAATGAGGCATTTTGGGATTTTTCCATGCTTTTTGTCTGTCCTACATTATCCTTATATGTGATAGTTGGGCTAACATTTTTTTCCCTTGGGAAAATATAAAATTTAAATGATGCCTGCTTTGCAAATTTACCTTCTCTTGAAGGCTGGTGGAGCTGACTCCGCCAGTCGGCTGTCCATCAAACCCTTGTTGCTCCTTAGAAGGGACATTGCTGATAAGAAGTACACCAGATTCATGTTTTTTCAACGTTGTTTTATAATGAGTAACTTTTCTTGTCCTAGTGGATATTTATGTTCAAGATGCTAGTGGAAGGCTTAGGTCCTCAGTGGTAAATATAGAAATCTCAGTAGCAGATAGTAAACATAGGAACAAAAAAATCTCAAACATAGAGGGGGCATACTGTTTATGGTGAAGATGAAAATGGATTGCAAATGATTTTTCTGGTACTTTGTTTCATAGCATCCTGATGAAAAGAGATTGGAAGGCCTCTCCAAGCAACTGGACTGGGATGTTCGGAGCATTCAGCGGTGGTTTCGACAGAGACGCAACCAGGAGAAGCCAAGCACACTGACAAGGTTCTGTGAGAGCATGTAAGTTGCTGTTTTTTCTTTTCAAAGAAAAGCCTGCCTAAGTAGTCATGCTGTCTCTGAGGTGAAAAGTAGCAGATCCATGCAACCCCCAGCAGCCCTTAAAAAGCATGCCATCAGGTGGAAAAATAGTTCAGAAAAAACTGGGGAACAGTAGTTTGTAAGAATTTGTGATTTCCACTTTGGATGCAGTACATAAAGTTCACTTTTTTTTGTTTTTTTTTTTGTCTTTTTCTTTTTTCGTGACCAGTAAGGGAATCGCAACCCTTGGCTTGGTGTTGCCCGCACCGCACTCAGCCAGTGAGCGCACCGGCCATCCCTATATAGGATCTGAATCCGCGGCGGGAGCGTCGCTGCGCTCCCAGTGCCGCACTCTCCCGAGTGCGCCATGGGGCCGGCCCTAAAGTTCACTTTTTAATGGAAACAGATTACAAGGGGATACAGTGGTATTTTTAACCAGCCATCTTTGAAATATTGCATTAAAAGTCATTATTTGTATAGATGCTGATAGTTTGAATTTTAATAGAAGGGACTTAGTCAAGACATTCTTTCCACTGATAAGAACTAAGATACTAGGCTATATTATGAGAGTTTTGACAATGTCATACATTCATGGAGATTTAAGAAATTGCTGTGTTATATTACTGGGTGAGTTTTAATGAAGCATTGCTTGAAGATGGGGGATGGAATGAAAGTCTCTTTCATTTCTGAAATGTGAACTTTATGGTGTGTAAATTGTACTTGTATATCAATAAAGCTGTTAAAAATAATAAAAGACCCGCAGAGAACTCTTCTAACACAGTGATATTTGGAGGTAGTGATATTCAGTATACTTATCTATAGGAAAACCAGAGAAAGAAATATTGAAGCATTGAGCACATCCCCCCAAAATGGAAAATTCTTCCTCAAGATTCATTACTCCATTTGGTCTTCATCATTTGGCATATGACTGTTCCTCTGTCTAACAGTTATTTTTTTTAGGGAGCTTTTTCTTGACACCTGATTATTTAAATAATGCTGCTGTTGGTGGAGGCTCCCTTAATTGCAGGCACTTTCAGTTTGAGGTTAAAGTTGCATTTTCAGGTTTGGCTTTCAATTATGCTAAAAAAATATTTTAGCAATCAAAATCCAAGACTTAGAGGGAAACCTAATGTTGTAGTAAAAATGAATCAGAGGCAAAGTAATATCATAAATTCCTAGTGCTAGGTAAATATCAGAGCATAAAACCGGTGTTCAGGAGATCAGGATATTTATACAGTCTGGAAAAACAACCTAGTACATACAATCTGCAAAGCCCTTCCTATGGCTGAACTTAGTGGCAGTTTACGGAAGAATGATTTATGCATCTGGGCTCCTGATCAAAAGCCAGCTTCCTACTGGCCCTGCCATATATACAGAGGGCCTGGGCTCCATCATTGAGCCAGAAGCATTGCTGGGTCTCAGCACATGCCCACATGCTGAAACTCATGTGCCATCTTCCCCTCCTCCAACTAGGTTCTTTGGTAACTCAGTGCTAGCTCCTTCTATACTGAGTCTGCACCAATTTCCCTCAAATACCGATGTGTGTAGGCATCTGATTCACTTGATCTGGGATGGCAGCTGAGATTCTGGATTTTTAACAGGTTCCCAGGTGGTGCTGTTGCGGCTGGTCCATGGACCATGCTGTGAGTGGCAAGGACCAACACTAGACCAGTGTCTGTGTCTTCTCCCTGAATTCAACTGGTCTTTACCTGCATACCATTATAAATAGGACAGTGATAGTTACTATCAATTAAAGATATTTCCGAATATCACTAGAGGCATGGCAATGTGGAAGCACAGTGGTGGGGAGGAGGCAGTATATAAAGTATCATTATGATCTCTTCACTCAAGAAGCTTATTAAAATGTGTCGGGCCGGCCCGGTGGCGCACTGGATAGTGCGCCGCTTGGGAAGCGCAGCGGCGCTCCCATCCGAGGGTTCGGATCCCATATACAGACTGGTTCCCGCTCACTGGCTGAGCGAGGCGCGGGAGCAACACCGAGGCTTGCGATCCCGTTGCCGGTCCCCGGTCCGGTACAGGGGCAACACTGAGGGTTGCGATCCGTTGCCGGACACGGAAAAAAGACAAAAAGACAAAAAAAATAAAAATAAAAAATGTGTCAAGGAGATAAGATGTAATATCTGAGCATGTGTGGATTGATGATAGACTTTAAAAGATAATTACATATGTGTGTTAAATATTAGTAGTATGGATAGTCAGTAACTAAAGATTAAAGGAAAAGGTCAGGTGTGGGGCTGCTGGGACTAGAGATGGGTCAATGCCAGTAGCCTTTGACCTCTCTGTTGCATAACTGTGTTGATGAGCTCTTGTTTTCAAACTCTCTTCCTTGGGTCTGGGTTGCCACTAGATTCTCCTACCATTCCATGGCCTTTTGTTTGCGTCATTTATTCTGCATTTCCCCTGTGGTCTTTAATGTGCTACTTTTCCAGATCCAGTTATCAAGTGTTTGTTTTTCTTCCTTTCCTTTCCATTCCTGGTATAGAAATTATTTCTTCTCACCAACTTCTTCTGAAGCCACGTGTCCAGTGCAGATGTTTCTTCTGAGGCATTGTTCTGCTGTCTCCACTTGGCATCTCTGATTTGCTTCCACTCCTGACTCCCCTTTTCTCCTATTGTTTCTATGCCTGCATTTTGTTACAGGCTAGAAACTCAACCCAGTCGGCCACTGAGTTTCATTAATTCTCTGTAAATCCACCACTTATCCCAAATCCTAATCGCTCTCATAGTCTCCTTATTATTTATCTCTTATACTCATAGACATTTTATTTGCTATCAAAAAAACCCCAAAACATTTTCCTATAATACTACTGTCCCTATGTTCTGCTGCTTTAAAACGTTGATGATTTTTCTACAGGTTAAGCATTAGGCTCCTTAGCCTGATAACTGTAGAGTCTACAGGTTAAGCATTAGGCTCCTTAGCCTGATAACTGTAGAGTCTGGCCTTTGCCTGCTTGGTATCAGTCACCCAAATGACCTCTTCCTTCCAGAGAGCTGTTTTCACTGTTCGTTCCTTATTCATTCCTGCCTTGGTTTGTGCAGTGTCTCTGGCCTAGAATACCTACTTGCTCTGTCTTGCCAATTTATCCCCTACCCATTCTTTAAATCCCAGGCCTTCTCTAAAGTGTGGCCTGACTGCTGGGTTGGGAGTGAACACAACTTCTCTTTAGAGCCTCATCGTAGCACTAGTAACCTAAGACTGAATCACATGCTGCCTTATGCAATTACTTAACTTTTCTAACTTGGTGGTCTGTCTCCACCCCAGTTACATCAGAAATGCCCCTTGAGGGCACGAGGGCCATGTCTTCTTGTTCTTGCATTCTTCTCAGCCTTTACCACAGCATACAGTCTCTGCTGAATAAATGTTTGTCAAATGACTGTATGTTAAAATGGCATTGTTTTGGAAGGAGTTTTGATCTCAGTTGCCAGTGCCTTAATTTACAGTGACTTAGCTTAAAATTTGTCTAGAACTACCTGACTATGGAAAACTCTGTGACAATTTTAAAGACAGAAATTCAGAGGAAAGAATGGGATGGCAGAGAAGAAAATTTAGAGAATACCATGAGGGATAAAGTAGAGTTATATTGGTCTGTGTATGCATGTGTATGTCATAGTTTTTTGCCTATAAAAAGTGGTCTGCAATAATTGTTTTTAACCAGGAGTGCATTTCATAGTCACCTGGTGAGCTTTTCGAGATACAGATGCCTGGGCCCCACCCAGGGTGTCTGATTCAGTACAATGACACAGGTGGGGTCTGGACGTGTGTTTCCTAGAAGAAATGCCCCAAGTGCTTATGACGCACATCCCTGGTTAAGAAAAGAGATGACTACAGTTCAGAAGCACTAAAAATCAAATTAAAAAGCAAGAGAACATAAATTTGGGATTTGTAGATATAGGGCCAAAATGTAAAGAATCTATAGTTTTTCTATTATGTAAGTTATTGTTTTAGAATATATAGAATCCCTTCAGGGGAATTGTATTTCAACTCTCAGCAGTATGGAATAGCACCAATAAGCATGTCAAACGGTGCTTGTATGCATCTGCTGGCATGTCCAATTTTTGGCACACCCACTTGATGCAGATGGATTGAGTAGAAGTTGTTTACTTGAGTAATGTGCTGAAACATTGACATGGTTTTTCCCCCCCTCTTTCTTGATGTCAGTCATTCACTGTCATGTCAGTTTTGGTGGATATCTCTTCCAGAAGCATTTAAATCCTTATTGGCAACTAAAAAAGAGATTTCAAGAGGGAGTAAGGAATTTATAAAAATGAGATATCACGTGAGATGTTTTAGGAGAAACTGGTTCAGAATGGAAGCTGGTGCTGGCTGAGATTATGCCTTTAGGCTTCTGAAGCTGTGCCACCCTCCTTCAGCAACTTCAGAGTTGTGGGGTTTTATCATTCAGGATAATATAAGTAATGTCTGCAATAAAAAATATTTGCTGATTTGCACATTTGCATATTTGGCTGAAACAGGAAGAAGCAGAGATAAGATGTCAGAACAAATGGCTTCACTGTAATTTCTGCTTTACCTGTGCTCATCATTTTTGAATCTTGTGTAGTACATTTATGAGCACAGATCTTGGAGTAAATATTATATTTGGCTTTCATTTAAGCAAACTCCAATCGATTGGAAAGGTGAATCTCCCATATGATAACCTAAAAATGTAGAGCAAGGAATATTCACACTTTCCAGATTAGTACTAATTTACTGGAAGTTTGCTGCAGATGGTGCTGAGGTTATAAAGCCTGGGTTGTGTAATATGAAGTCTCAAGATTCCCTTTTCTTCAGGAATTTTGTTTTAGAGTTGATGCTTATTAAAACTACCCCCAAAATACTGCCATATTTGGAAGCATCTGTACAGTGGCGGTAGACTCATCAAAATCTGGGAACCTTTTGAAATTGTGACCTTATTTTTGGGAAAAAGCTCCATGATTTTCTTAATTTGTGATTTCATTGAACT